TACTAGTGATAGTGGAAGTTCTGAGGAATAAGATAGTATACTGCGATAGTTTATTAATTGTAATAAAAGCGCGTGATATCTCCTTGACGTTGACGCGCTAGTAGGGCGCGACCGATTCGCTTGGGCAACCGATTCGCTTGTGAACCACGTTAANTATAATATAGAGAGTTATTCTACGTGCCCGTTACTGTCCTATATTTACACCCTGTCACCCTATCTGCGAGAAGTAACTAATAAGAAGCTTAACACCAGAAGTCTTATATTACTTCCACTCGAGCTATACTCTTAACATCTCCCTTAAGGCAGTATGCCGAAAAGAATGAGATACGTTCATACTTGTAAAGGTAGCTTCTTACCTGCTAACATAGGAACAGCTACGCACTAATACGCCCCACTAAGCACTTTAGTTAGCTACTTTGGTATACAAAGATTGTCGATTTCTCGAAAAGTTCTATTTACTGTATCAAGAAAGCGTACCATTCGCGGCACTATTATAAAGTATATCCTATACTGCGCAGTTTTGGTAATTACTATTTTTATGCGAATAGTACTACCAGTGGTATTCTAGTCCACCGAGAGTGCGTTTCGGCGTCCAGCCCATAAAATGACCTTCTTGTTCTATGTCACTTCCTATTAAAGTGCCACTTCTTAAGCATCGACGGTCAAGGATAGCAGCGTGTGTATCTAGTCATGCGATCAGTTGTGTAACAGAAGAGTCATTGCTGTGACGTCTACCTTTTGGAGGAAATGGAGGGTTTGGACTCGAAGATAATGGTGAGACAAATGACGTGCATGAAGAAACGTCAGATATGCAAGTTCTGGTCAACGGTGGTTGCAGTTGTGAACTAAGTAAGTGAGATGTGCAAATAGGCCACCCTGCAGTACAGTGATCTGCTGCAGACGAGAAGCGCCGCTTTTTGCTGCTGGGCGCGCTCTGCGTATTTTGGCCCTTTGTCTAGGCGACTCGCCATCTAATCCAGGTATATGTCAGTATGAAGACAGCCCCCCTCTTCAATATGAGTTCCAGCGTCATCGTTGATACCTAGACTCCTAAGCCAGTAGATAGGCAACGACGCGGACATATTAAGGAGTAGCATATTAAGTTGATGAAGTGTTTGGAAGAGGTCGTCAGGCATCTTCTCCTCCCTCTCCCACTTCAACGCGAAGGGTAGCAGGTGTTTTTCGAGGAAAGCGCGGCACGCCGTTTAAAATTTCTTTGTAGTACGGAAATGGCATGCCAGCCAGCCATGTTGGCTCGAGAGGGGGATCTGAACTAAGGTGGCCATGATTGGATGGAATGAAACGAATGACTTAGTTGTTAGGTTGTTCGAATGCGTGACGTTTTCTCAGTACGTATGAAGTGTTATAGAGACACGGCATCAATGAAAGGAAGATGCTTTTATATGTGGCTGACAAGCCTATAATTGATGTTTTTCCTATGTTCATATTGAGACATAGTATCGTATTTAAGATGTGAGCTGACGATAACGACAGATGCCGTGGTGCAATTTGCGGAGTTGATGAACAGACAAGGTCCTTTCGGAATGCGGCAAAAAAGCCAAGGCTCTTCCCATTTGGCATTGCACCCGAGAGTAATTGAACTATCTACTCTATTTCACCATTGAGGTAAATATCAAGCGTGATAAGGTCAAGACAGGTATCGCTCTTTGGGGGGGCCTAGCTTGTACATAAATTAGCCAAGTTTAGACAGTCCGTACGCCGTAAAATGTTAAACTAGATCGTACAGACTTTACAACCTAGAAAACGGACTAGTTCCTAAAAGATTAATCCGTAAAGTGACTGTTGAAACTTCTGGGAACACTGCCGTATAGCTGGCTCTAGAGGAAGATTGTTATTGGGGATTGTCTTAGAGACACTGCAGTGGGATGAATACTATTTCATAGCCCTCCTATCGTAAGTACATGCTGCATTATACTCCTTGCTTAGTGCTATGGGGCGATTCGGCTACCCAAAGCCGACGTTGGGATTGCGGAGTGTATGGTTGGCTTATTCGACGACATTATTTAAACAGTATATGAGCTATACTAGTCCCACCACCGTAGATGTGAAGGAGTAGCTCTGGTTTTGGTACAATGTTCAGGGAATGCCAGTCCGCGCTTCGCATTAGTTATTCCGTGTACTCTTACTATTTATCTACCAGCCTGTTCCACGCACTTGGACGTATATACCTGATCAGAGTTCCTTGATATTGCAGAACCGTCTCTTTCTAGTCCTTGCCTACCTGAGAGCCTGGATCCAAGTGATGGCGTATAGTGTAGTAAATAGGGTCTCCACCTCGGGACCAGGTGGAGATTCAAGTATTTTTTTACGTGATTGGACGGTATTCAAAGAAAGCAATCTTTAATATCTAGCATAGCTATGACTAGTGATATTAGACGTTTTCAAACCAGTTAGATCGAATGTCTTCCCGCACGAAACACCTCTTGGATTAGTTATGATATGTAGCTTAAGCTGCAGCGTTGGCCCCCCTTTTCGAGGTTACTACTTAGTTAAACGTCACTTGTTAGGAACTAATCATTAAGAATAAGGACGTGTGTATTTAGTTACGCGATTAGTCGTATAATAGAAGAGTTATTATTATGATATCTAACTTTTAAGAGCCGAGACAGAGAGAGAAATGTAAGGTTTAGAGTACCTCGAGTATAGTATTAAAACTAATTTTGTCTAGGGTAAGAAAAGAGAAAAAACGTCCGCAGCAAGTCATGAAAGACTGATGGTGTAAATGGTGATGATATGAGAATGGGTAGATATATGCACTAGTCACCCTCACTGCTCTACAGGGCCTCGTCGAAGGAAGAAAATAAGTGTTATAAAGACGGCGAGACATATCCCAATGTAACTTGCGGTTTCTAGGCGAGAGCGCCAGACATCCTCGCCGCGTCTGAACCAAGGTACAGCACGCCTGTGTCTATGTCGCCGATGAAAAGGTGCTTGTTGGCGGGCGACTGGGAGGTTCTGGTTGTGAATTGGTAGGATAGGTATGGGGGTCGCATTTGCGTTGTTGTTATTGTTGTTGTTTCTGCGAGGAGGCATGGTGGTGCTGGAAGAGGTGCTGTAAGTATAGTCATGTGTTAGCACGATGCGATAAGGTGTACCACTAAACGAACTGCAAAATTACGTACGTGAGGATAGGTGGGAAACAGCTAAATTATCGCTCGTAGAGTAATGCAGGATACCTAGGAGCCTTTCCTCTAAGGAAATGCTTGGTTTTAAAGACTTGGGGGTGTTGTAGTGTTCTACGGGCGCTAAGCTCGATATAGCAGTGCCCATTTTTCGAAACTGTCAGACACGACTCTTCCCAAGATAGGCTTAGCTCAAGTCTCTTTTGTTGGCGAGGACAGAAAAGTACCCCCCCATTTTGATACCGCACTGCCAATCACATGGACTTTTCCCACCAGCTCATGACAATGGCCCACCTACGTACAGAGGTGGCTTTCAAAAGTTATTGCTGACAGGGATAATCTGTATCACTACCGAAGTACTACCAGAGCTGATCGGATCTGTCCTTCTGCCCGTCCTTATACTCATTTCCGCTATCAAGTCGAATTATTTCTTTAATATAAAATGGAATCCTCTCTATCCAAGCTTGTATTTAGTGTTAAGGCAGCTCCTACTACTAGTGTAGCTATGCCTTTGCCCCTTCTACTCTATTTTTTAGTACTCCTTTGTGTAATGGGCTGAACGCCCTTTGCCTCCTATACTCGTCTACGACCTCGTGTACTCTACCTGCCCGGCCCGATTGTTACTCCAGCAACCAGTATTGTATATAGATAGCCACGTAGCTGAGAGCTTAGCTCTCTATCGAATA